ATTTTTTTATTTTAGTCCGTCTCATAATAAAGTATCCATTTCTTTTTTTTTTTAAGTAACTGTACTATCTACCTAACGTTACAAATACCCTCACAATTTACAATATATTACACAAATGTCATTACCTTTATATCACACATACTTATAAGGTTATTTCAGTCATTTTTACTTTATTTCTACTATATCCCAATATAATGCTAATATTTCTAAAACTACGTGCAAAAAGCAAATGAATATTTACTTTCAGGACGAAAGGAATATATATATTTTTTATATTCTTACAAAAACCAACATTCAATATAAAATACTTTTACTATTGTTTTTTTATATTAACAACACAACACAACACAATTCTATTTACCTCACCTAAAAAATAATCAAATAAAAACACTAAACAAACAAACCCTAAGTTTATTAGTATTATTTAAATTACAATCTATATATAATTTTTATACAATATATAAATAACAAAAATATATCTAAACAAAATCGAAATTGTCAATTTTTGAATAAAGAATGTGTTTGTTTTGTAAAATAGTTAAAAAGAATTTTTTTTTTCTTTTTTTTTCATATGAAGTATAGAAGAGCGCAGATAACATAAAAATAATGAATGTATTAATTTTTTTTGGAAAAACATATGTGCTAAAATAATAAAAAGAATACCGTATAAAATTTTCAAAAAAACATATAAATATAAACTAGCGATTCAAATGTAACGGTCTGTTTTTAAATCGGAATCTTCGATTTCGAACACAAACCGTTGAATCGAAACAATAACTGTGATTCAAAAAAAATTGATAAATAGAAAATCGATGATTTCAAACCGTATCCGATGGTTCAAACCGTTTTATTAAGTCTAACCATGCTTAAAAAAATTATCTAGAAAACTTCGAATGGTGGACCGTAGAGAGATTTGAAATGGAACGACGATTTGTGCCTTAGTATATTTATTTATTTATTTATTTTTAATGGATAAAATAAATATGGTTTTTTTTATCCTATTCAAAAATATATATATATATATTTTTTATTTTTTTTTATTAAAGCTTCATAATTAGCCAATAATATTTGTTTTTACTGCTATTGTTATGATTATAATTATTAATATAAATTTTCATATATTTATATAAAATAATTGATCTCTTTTCTCAAGCAATTTTATGTTTTCCTTTCTTAAGATTGATAAATATAAATAAAAAGGCTCAAATTAAAATTATTAATTTTAATTTTATTTATGTTTATATTATTTTTGAACTTATTTTTGAAAATCTTTTAATTTATTTTTTAAAAAAATTAACCAATATTAATTTTTTAAAAAGAGTTTTGACTACCAATATTTTTAATTTATTGCCATTAAAACATAACCGGCTATGAAATTACAAAATATAGGAAATATATTAGTTTTAGCTACAAATTAAATTATGTAGCAAAATAACAAATTTTTACTACAAAAATAATTCATAGTGAAATTTTTTGTAGCAAATTAAAGTTTTTTTCATAGTGTCAATATATTATTTAAATAATAATTTGGGAAAAAAAAATTAATAGTAATCTCAATAAAATATAAAAATAATTAATTTTAATCTTATTATAAATATATATATATACTTTTTTGTCTCATTATAAATAAATAAATAATCATTTTTGGTTTTATTATTAAAAAAAACATTAACAAAAACACCGATTTGAACATAGCGGACCTGATATTGCATCTGATTACGACTAACATAGCTTTGTTCCAAATCAATTCGGTTGTAGTTTAAAAATAATTATATCAATTATTATTATTTTTTTTATATATATATTATAATAAAAATTAATTTTATATTCAAAACGTTACATTAATATTATTTATATCACATTATATATTATTTCAATTTTTTTTTTTTAGCAGTGTACACACCTAAAATTAATTGGATCAATCCAGAACAAGTGCAGCCCAAGTTTCGAGAAGTTTGCGGCCCAAGAGAATGTCCAGATAAGCAAATGGGCCTGCGGATCCGACCAACCCAATGATCAAGTTAGCACAACGTAGAAACAGTCCAATGGAGGCTAATGGATAAAATTGATTTTTTAAAATGGAAATTTAAGAGGTTGGAGGAAAATAAGGAATAAAGTCTTATCCAAACAAGATTTTAAGCAAGATTTAAAGGAAATGAAGAAGGAAAAAGAGAGGAGGCGATATTCATTGATCATCTTCTTCGTTATTTTCTCTGTCAATTTTTTCATTTCAATAATTTTTCAAGATTTTTATAATTTTTTCCCACTGCAATTTTTCCATTTCAATAACTTTTTAAGATTTTTATAATTTTTTTCTTTCAATTCATGTTTGATTTTCAATTCTACCTTTTCTTTTTTCGTCAATTTTTATTTTTTCGGTTAACGCGAGATAGCCCGGATTTTTTCTTGAAGAAACCGGAAAACTCTATGAACAAATCAATTCTGATAGGCTTTTCCGATCAAGCCATCGGTGGCGATTTTTTATGATAACAGATTGGCACGCCAGTGGGACGCCAACGTCTCGCGGCTTTTGCATGCAACTTTGAATGAGAAAATTGATGCCGCCGACAACCATGGAGATGTCGAAGAACAAGGAAACCGTCGGCGATTCGTCATCGCACCTTGCACAGGAGGCTGCCCCACTATACGAAGCTTCCGCGGCGGCGGGGAGGTCCGATCCTATCGTCAGCCTTCCGGCCAGCATGCTTCGGGAACAAATTCGCGGAGAAATTCAGTCTTCCTTCGACGAATCCGCCCTAGAATTGTCCAAATACATCACTCACGTACTCAAGCCCGCCATACGAACCGAATTCGCGCTCCTCCGGGAGGAGGAAACTCGAATCCAATTTTGGATTGAAATTTAAATAGTTAAAAAGTTAATGGAAATAGTTATATATAAATAAGTATTGTTATAATATTTTAAAATATAAAATTTCTTTTTAATATAATATAAAAATTAAATATATTAAAATATAATTAATAATTTTGAGTTTTTATTTATATTAAAATATAATAATTTTAATAAAATATTTAAAATATATTAAATATCATTGGTTCAAATTTTATGTATATGGATCGAATTTAAAAATTCAAAATTTGTCAAAAATTCAATTTGAACCGATTAAAAAATCCGAAAAATTTGAACCAAAATTTAAATTTTAATTTGATTCGAATCCAATATTTTGCTCACCCATACAAACATATCTATAGTGTTTATTTATTTATTTGGAAAAGGCAGTAAAATTTGAAGAAAATAGGGTAAAGAAACAACCCAAATATTTGACTATTATAAATTAATTTGAACAAAAAAAAAAAAAACGTTTTAGATTCAATTAGTTTAGAAATAATAAAAATAAATAAATATAAAAGATATAATTATGATAATATAAATAAATAATGTATTTTAAATATTAGCTTCGTCCATAATCAATTTTTCTCTTTATTTTTTTAATGTTAATATTTAAATATTAATTATATAAATATTCAAATTTTTTTAATATTAAAAATAATAATACAAAATGTAATTGAGAGATTTAAGACGAAAGTAAATATAATATTTAAAGCCCGGTGGTTAGAAACAATTAATTTTGAATGTTTTTTGACGTTATTCAAAAAGTTTGTTTTTCAGTACTTAAAAGAAATATATATTGCTTATTTTTATTTTTGTGTAATACTCTGTTCGTCCAAGCAAAAGGTATACATTTATTTTTGGCACATAATTTAATAAATTATAGTATATATGTAAAAGTAGTATGATGATATTTTTGTTCTTACTTTTTTTTTTTGTATAAAAGTAATAATGTGATGTAGTGATGTAAAGTAAGAATATTTGTTGAAAAAAAAAATAAAGTATTTAATAAAATAGTTATTTTGTAATTTGACGTTCTAAAATAAAAATATGTATACTTTGTACTTGGACGGAAGAAGTATATATTTTGTTAAGCAAAATATTGTACATTCTGTCTCTATTATCATGTTCACTGGTGTGTTTGTTTAGGGGATTGAATAAGATTTCTACTATTCATTCCATTTTTTCCCCCTAAAAATATCAAATCAAACACCTATTTTTCATTTTTTATATTATACTAAAAATCAATTTTACATTCAAAATATCACATCAACAACTATTTATATCACATTATACAACTATTCAAATTCAAAATTTTTACTATTCAAATCCCAACCCCAAACAAAAATATATTAGAATTAATTAGTTAATTAAATTACAATTTTAAAAATTATAAATTTTAAAATAAAATTAAAATTAAAATGAACAATTAATAAGTGGAGGGATGAAAATAAAAATATAAACATGATAAGTGGTACGAATAAAGTATTAATGTAAATACATATACTGTAGGTATGTTACTCTAGTCCAATTTTGGGCTAGTGTTTGTGTTTTGCATAATGAATCAATCCAAAACTGGGCTGTTCGGTTTTTTGGGGCAAGGTGACAGCCTTGACATCAGGCCGGTTTTTTTTTTTTTTAAAAATTATAAATGTAAATTTAAATTTTTATAATAATTATAATTTAATAAAATATATACAATATATATTAGTAGAGAATAATATTTTTTTTTTCTAATACAGATAAATAAAAATTTAAATATATATAGATATAATAAAAATTTATAATTAAATTATATAAATTTATATTCATTACCATCAAATTAATACACATCAAAATTCTCGTGACTCAATCTAAACTTAAACACATAAATTCCAAATCTAATTCAAAATTCAAATCCAAATTTATCCAAAACCCGATAAAGAAAGACACCCTGTATTATTATATTTTTTTATTATATTAAACCGCAAACATTTCCAACAAACCCGATATCTCTAAACATATCCGAATTAAACTGTAACAAATAGCTAAATTAAAATATTTGTGTAACAGGTGACCTAAAGCTTCGATTTAATCTTTTGCTTAATTTAAGTGTGGACTGAGGGGGTAATATTTAAAAATTAATATTTAAATTAGAATAGCTTTGGATAAATCTACAAACTTCTGTAGTCTAGTCTTTCACTTTTTCACTTTTCTTTCTTTCTTTCTCCTACCCCACAGTGACTCTATCGTCTTCCTCCGCCGCTCCGCCGCCGCTGAAAAATGCCTCAAATGGAAGAATCCGAGGGGGAGAAGAACAATCCAATCATAGTTTTCTTCACCAATTTGCTTTCTGGAATCAAGCTGCCGTTTCCACCGAAGAACACCGCCAGCGAGAAGGATGAGCCGGCCGTCGCTGCTGTTCGCGCAGAGGAGCCTCTTATTGTAAAGTCTCCGGCGGCGGAGGAGGATGAGAGCGGAAAGCCTGGCGTGGTGGCTTTTCCGCGGCGGAACTTTGTTCCGTTGAAGCTGGAGGAGGCTGACGCTGAGGCGGCTGAGCGGAGTACTAATCCGGCGGTTCTTTGGCAGGTGTGTATGTGTGATTAATGAATCTGTTATTGCATTGGTTTTAGGTTTTGGTGTGTAACTCGATTCTGATTCGGTTGCGGAAAGGATGATTGATTGGGCGATTGTGGTTGGTGATTGATTGTGTTTGAATTGAGATTATTTGATTGCGACATATGCGGTGTGATTTGATGTAGATAATTCGATTATCTTCAAGCCGTACAAGATGCATTTTCTATGGCTGTGTATCTTTTTAGGTTAAAATTATCTTTACTCTGAATCTATTCCACGATTCTTTTGTGCACAAAAACGGATTATCTTCAACTATATATGCCTGAATCTGACTGTGGTGCGAAATTTAGTTGATCTTGATTTTGTTTATTATGTTGCTTTACTTTCTCATAATCTGAAGCACAATTGCAGTGGGGCTATTAGTTTGTATCAATCAGATCCTATTTGTTGGCTTAGAAATACCTTTTTGTATTCATAGTATGGATTTTAACAAATTTCTTTTCATTTTAATAAATATTTGAAAAAAAAGAGAGTCATATAAGGAATTTGATGGCACTAAATTATCACTTCTTGTTGGAAAAAGTGTTTGTGAAGTAGTGATTGACTTAAGACTTTAACATTGATAGTATCAAATTGGTGTTAGCTGGGAATGGATTACAAACTTTGGAAAGATAAAGATAATTAATGAATGGTAGTCAATTGTCAGGGTTAGTATAACTGAATAATGTATATATATATATATATATCACTTCGGTTAGGTGCGGAATGGGGATTTATCGGTACCATATTGATTGCTCCAATTAGTACATGAAAATACTATAGATAGCATATGAAAATATAACCCACATCATATATTGTATAAAGTATTAGTGTGTACTGTCAAGTTTATTTTATACGCGGGGTAGATTAATGTGTTCGTTTATGGAATTTTCCCAAAAATCTACTATTTATCAATTTCTCTTTTTTTTTTTTACAAAAAACATTATTAAACATCTATTTTTCATTTTTTATATTATACTAAAAATTAATTTTACATTCAAAACATCACATCAAACACTTATTTATATCATTTTGTCCCGCTAATGAACAAGTGGGATAAATCTTTCGTGCAAACAATGAATATTGTATGTTTTTCCTCATGCAAACTATGGAATTCGCCGTAATTATTTTTTAGTCGGGATATTATTTGTTTTTTAGTTATAAAAGGAATACAGTTCGCCTTTTGAGATCCAAGGCCTTAGTGAAGATTATACATAATAGACTTTGATTAGTTTTTCATATTTAGCCGCTTGAATGATTGATTATTTATGTTTGTCGCAATCGTACTCTATTATATTAATTGCATATGCACGTATGGATTATATGTGGTGAATTTTTTTTCTATCTTTTTACAATGGATGAACACAGGTTTATGCTATTGGGGGATTTTTCGTCTTGAGGTGGGCTTGGAAACGATGGAACGAACACAAGGGGCAGAAGAAGCCAGGCGACGAGCCCCCCCCAACCACCTCCCCCGACTCATGAATAGTATAGTATCCTATCCCGATTGCCATTGCTATGTAATTTCTCTTTTGCAAGAAACCTCTTACACTTTGAACCCAAGAAATCGAATTATTTTTCTTCTTTTTAGTTGCTGCTACCATTGCCTTTTATTCTTGACAGAGTGGACTAAATGTCGACGTTTTTGTTTTTGTTCTTGTTCTTAGTATAGTCTTGTTACTTATTGCAGGCCAACATCCATATTTTGAAAATTTTATTTTATTTTATTTGTTTATGAATATTATGAAATCAATTTATGATTTGCATACTGATGAAATATTATATTCAGGTGTGTTTGAAAGAGCATAGCCTTGATATTTTGGAATTTAGGTTTGTTTGGCTTTTATTTGAATTCGAATTTTGATTTAAATAGGATTTTATGTAATCTTTTGTTAGAAGAATGGGATATTTTTAACAGCTGTGCAGATTTAAGATTTAATTTATGGTGATTTTGATTTTAAATAAAAAAAAAAAAAAACATTAGTAAAAACAAGTAAATTCTACTTACTACATATGAAGTTTGATGACCTATCAAGCAAATGAAAGACAAATGAATTGACTTGGATATGCTATTAACAATCCTAATGCTTATTTGAAGTTTATTATTATTATTATTATTATTATTATTATTATTATTATTTTTTACAATTATAAAAAAGATGGTTATTATTATTATTATTATTATCACACTACTATTAAAACCAAATTAAAAATAATTGAACCCTAAACAATAGTGACACTGTTCACGATACCCCTAGAGACAAAAATAAATATGAATTCTGTCCTGTCAGGGGTCATTGGTTCAAACCCCCGACGTCTCAGATCATCTGCCACACATAGTTCGCCTAGTCCCCTAATTTACAGGATTATTAGGTTCGGTTATGTTTTGAATGTAAAATTGATTTTTAATATAATATAAAAAATAAAAAATAGATGTTTGATTTAATGTTTTTCGAAAAAAATTGAGGAAGAATCCCAAATAAACACACCCGAAAAAGTAGATCAGTCGCACCACACAATTAATGGTTCTAACTTAATCCATTGTATATTAATCTGATTAAAAAACCAAAAAAAAAAAAAAAAAAAAAAAAAAAAAAACTCAGCAATGAAGTCAAACTTGATTGTGCATCATTTGCATTACATTAACGAATTTGTGACTGTAAAATCCTAAGTGTAAACTGCCGGAGTCCCGGTGAGTTCCCTTATCCATGTCATAATAGATAGATATATAAGGTTTGTTTGATTTGTGGTTTGAAATTGATTTAAAATGAAATATTGATTGAATTTTTTTTAAAATATATTTTAATATGATATTTTACAAGAAGAAATACTACCTCAGTTCCATAAAATCCACATCATTTGCTGTAAATTTTTTAATATTAGTAATTATATTGGTTTATAGTAAAAAAAAAATATTTTAATTAGATTGTGTAACATTTATGTAATATATTGAAAATTGTAAGAATATTAATTATATTAGTTAGATAATACAATTACTCCCTCCGTCCCGGAACAAGGGTGGCGTTTACTTTTTGGACGTAGATTTTTGAATATTAGTATTATAATAGATTGTAGTGAAAAAGACGAAAATACCCCTATTAGTATTGTGTAATATAAAAGTAATGATATTTGTGTAACATAGTGTAAGTTGGAAGGGTATTTATTATGTTAGGTAGGTAGTACAATTACTAAATTAAGAAATAGTAACCTTGTTTTGGGACGGACGAAAATGAAAAATGACAACCTTTCAATGGGACGGAGGGAGTATTAAATTAGAAATATAGTACCCTTATTTTGAGACAAAGAGTAATATATTTTTATTGAAAATTATACAAGTTAAAAAAGTATTAATTTTAGTTTTAAATGATTAAAAAAAAAAAAACTCAGATATTCACCGTATAATATCATCATTGTCAATATATTGCATTCATTTCATGGCGATGACAAGAGGAACTCAATTTGTTAAATATAGTGTATAATAGGCCTTTTTGTACTTACAAGTTACAATAGTGAGGCTTTTTAAGTATTTTATTTATTAGGTTATACATATATATATATATATGAATAAATACGAATTTCTAATACAAATCGACTCATTGCCGGCTCATATATATATATATATACACACATATATTGCAGACTCGCCCAATTGTGACATAATTTCATAACAATATTTTCACTTTCCACGCAACTTATTAAAGATCATTGCAAGAATTCAAGAATCACATGGGCAATGAATGTTGCTAATATTAACAAGACTAAAATCTCCAAAGAAGCAAAAGACAATACTAAAAAACACTAAAAATCTATACCGAACACATAAAAGTTTAATTCCGGTTCGTCGTCTCCAAAGATCGATTGATTGATCGACTAGAAGTTAAGGCTGACCAAAACTAACTCTATCGATACCCATTATGTACACTCCGGAGATCCCCGAGGATCCATCTTCAAATTATTCGAGTCTACGTTAACTCCGTCTCCAGAAGTTCCTCACGACAAAATTTTCGAAGGAAGAACTTCATTTCCAATCCTATACAGCAATAATCAGCTGGACAGTTTGTATCCGTTGAAGAGAAATCTAAGGCTCGATTTTTTTCCGAATCTGAAGCTTCTTCTATTGTGACCCGAAATAGCTTTCGTGTATAGAAAGACGATCAAATGCATCAAAGTTTGCCTTGAGACCGACAAACTGACTTCCGAATTGGGCGCAGCCTGCATCTGGCCATCGACAGCCTCCGTCCCGAGTGCGCAAGGGACACAAAGATTCACAAACCCGTGTGATGGGGTGGTCGAAGTCATCGTCTTCGATTTGGGAAAGGGACAAACTCGATTTCTCATCGACCTGTAAATTGCCTCCGGATTGAGTTTCCGAGGCTGAAAACAGAGATTTTTGAGGGATTTCTGTTGTCGGATTGCTTTCAACGTCGACAATGCAATCCCCGTCTTCTGAGAAGTGAACCTTACACCCGAGCGACTGAACTGCCCGCTTTATTGCAGCAGTTTCCTTTCTGGCTCGTCTCGCCCAATCCCACGCTGAACTGCTGCTGAGTTTTTCGTTTTGCAATTCAGCTGTCAAGGAAACCATCGTGGCTGTTGTTTCTTCCGCTTTGCTCTCTGCCGACTCCTTCGCCTGTCAAAAATATGGTTTTACTCGATCACTTCCATAAACAATAAAATCAAATTGCACTTATATTATAAAGTTGATTTCCTTTTGAATTCCTTTTAATTCGATATTAGTCTTTTTGTTAATTCAGTTAAGTTGCAACAGAATAAATAAAATTACTGGGCGGGCATTCGGGGGGTTTGGGGCGGGTGGGATGTGTTCGGGGAGACAAGAAAAGAATTCATCCTGTTGATAACTATTAAATTTCATTCAAATTGAAGTAGATTGACAAAATGACCAAATTTGACCCAAAAAAGTAACTGCGATTAAAATATAAGAGGACAAATTTATTTTTTTTTCTTTTTTAAAAGGTCATCTAGAAGTATCAAAAACTAATTTTATCATAGTCTAGGCATTGCCAAACAGTTTGGTAAAAAAGACTAAGTCATCTTAGGGACAATGATTACTAGCTGTATGGTCGACTTTTTGGTTGACGACATTTAGAAACAAGAAATATGAAGGCAAAACAAATGAAAATGTCAACTTCGACACTGAAGAAACCAAAATGATTGGCTTGGGCCAAAACGATGCTACTATCCAAACGTACGCATTGAACACAGAAAAGCTTAGAGCAGGCAAGATGAAACTAGGAAGTCAGAATGTGGTATCTGGCCTATAAAGAATTCAGGGCATGTGCAACCAGAAAAAGTATGATTACCTTCTTCAGCTCAGAGATTTTGTTAGCCATGTTTCGACAATGTGCTTCAACCTCCCCTGCTTGGGCTTCGATAGGACAAGTCCATCGGAGGTGAAACTGAGGCCAAAGTGTTGGAGCTAAAGCTGCAGCAGGGGGTAGTAATGGGCCGGAAGATTTAGATGGATCGTAGAAGGGATTATAATGTGCATGAGACCTCCCTTCTGAAGCCCGCATATCTGATAAATACATCCACAAGCAACCACATGCATCAAAAACACCAGCTTGCTCCCTTTCTTTCTCACTGATCACCAAGGAAAAAATACGACGAAATATTAAGAGATGAAGTACAACAAAATAGATGTAGTTTAATGTAGGCTTCTATGTTTTATACGACTATGCTAAGTTTACTTATTGTAGCGTTACTAAAAGTAAACTAGATATACTGCCCCGAACATATGTGCAAGATTGATAGCTTAGTTTGTATCAGAAAGCAGAATGGCTTTGTACATAGCCACTATTAGAGTCTTACATATTTAATACAAAATCAGACACATAAGATACAAGCCCTTGTGCTTACAGTATTTCGGAAATAAATAAATAAAATAAAATCTGCTGGTTCTTTGCATACCTTGTCTTTAACCATTATGTATACACGCACACAATCGTTCACATTCAATCATTAGGCATAGGCAAATTAATCAATAAAAACGAACACCATAATGAACCATGAATCTTAGTATATCATGGTTCAAAACATATCCATAATTTTCAATTCAGTTGAAGTCACTGTAAGTTAACATATTGTATTATGTGATATTAGAAGTTGGTGAAAAACATATGGAACGCTACTTCAGTCATCTTATAAGTGATGATAGGAAATTGTTGGGAAAGAACTAAAGCCATCTAGTTTTCAAGTATTTAAGATCTATCTTCGAATATGAATGGTTGAAATTTCTAAAGTTGTTAACCATTGAGTTCCAACAGTTAGGCATAGATGGAAATACATCATAATCACTATAGGGGACCAAAAACAATTTGGACATGAGCAAAACAGGATGGGCATGCACCGTAAATGGGATTTTGATGCGTATGCAAAGAGGTGATGAAACTAGCAAGAAGATAAAACATGTAATCAATGAATAAAGTGGAAAATAGGGAAACCGCTAATATATGAGAACATGAGAGAAATGTAATTAAATGGTTGATCATGTGTGCATAGACCTTTCAATGCTCAATATGACGGTAGAACATAGAAATTCCTCAATTCAGATAAAAAGATGGTGGAGAAGATTTAGAAGTTTTAGAAACAGACACAAAGAACAGACTATAGACTTGCTTTCAGACAAATATATTTCTTAATCAACAAAAATTGTTCCCTGTGGGTTATATACAAATATAAAGGATAAAGATTAGATTATGATGAAAATTTCTTCGAATTAAGGATTTATGAAAGGGATAAGAGAATTTGAAGGAAATGTAATTCAGAAAAAATATATACGTGTGTGTTAAAGTAAATAATAAAATTAAATAGGAAGGAATATCATTTAGATTTTATGGTGAAAAACCTCAAGGCAGTGCTTCTACCTAAAGCACAGACTGGTTGTGCCTTTTAGTTGCTCTGAAATTACCTTTACTAGGTTAAAAAAGTTACATTTTACATCCTGCACCTCGTCTAAGGATAATTTGAAAGAAAATAGGATAAATACACAATACAGCATCTAGCAAGGAGCATAACCGGGAAAGGAACACACCGAGAATACATTTTGAGTTTTGACAGGAAGTGAAAGAACTATACCTGTTGCAGAAAAAGTTTCCAAAACGGTGGGAAAGCACAGAATCCAGTAAATCCACCAGGAAAACCTGCACGTCAAGAACTGTTGAATCAAGCAATATTCTAACAGATTACAGGAGGAAAAAAAATAAAGAACCTTCCTTGATACATCCAACAGAACATACCGAGGAGAATTCAAAGGCATAAGGGTACATCCGCAACAGTTGTGATACACAATCAACCCACTGAAGAATAAAATAAATAAATAGATAAGTGAAATTAGTCAACAATGCAAAGTGGAAAATTGAATCAGTAGACAATGCAACTTAGATTGAAAGTTATCAACTTAGCGATAACAATATATATTTATTCAAGAGTAAGGCTTTCACTTAGACTGAAATCAAACAGATTAATAGAAAACACTTTGATGCGGCATTTTAAAATTCCAGATGCGATCAAATGAATATCCTCACATCTGAATAAATATCATTCATTCAGCTTTCCATTTGGGCAGAGACCTAGAAACGCAGCTCTTGGTAGCTGTTTTTCTTAACCAGTCAAAGATCAAGATGCATTTGAAGGATAATATCAATGTTATTCAATGCTATATTTGATAAAGATGACCAGTCAAGCTCATATACTGAATTTTATCGATCATTTTAGTAAACACACCTGTATAGTTACAAATAAGTCACGGAAAGTAGATGCCCATACTTGTGTCATCAAAGAAGATGCTTAGGAAAATGAGTTGTGTGATGTTAATTTTATATAATTATGATAATCCCAAAAACCTGAAAGTTTCTACAGCTGTTAGTTAGTCCTTAATGTTTACGTTATTTATTATAAGGTGAGCATTGGTACCATGAACTCATTTTTCAACATGCCCCTTCGAGTCAAGCGCCTTCTCAAAAATGCGAAGCACCAAGAACTCAAGTATGAGACTCAATACTATATTAGCTTTTATATGTCTATGATTAATTAAGGGGGAATGGTGAGTTATCAATTTTGTTGTAGTTCTCCGACCTCTTTGTTGCCTTCTCCATGTGCTTTTTCAACTATCAGTTTTTCCTTAGATATTTCTGATTTTTTTCCAGGTTTACTGTTTTACCTCAGGTATCTACCTGTATGTAATTCTCCATCTATTAAATAAATCTATTACTATCATTATTAACAACACATAGTTCCAAAAATCTTAGCGTTTAGATATGTTTAGGAAGTGCTTTTGAGTTTTGGGTTGGTTTGGTTTGGGTATAGTAAAAAGTCGAATAGAAAATTGGTGTTTGATGCGACAATAAATATATTAGATGTGATATTTTGAATAGAAAATAGGTTTTTGATGTATATTTTAAATGAAAAATATGTATTGGATGCGATGTTTTTTCAAAATGGAACCGTTTGAAAACATAAGTAGATAGAGCCATATTCTAGAATTTGAAGTTAGATTCCATTTGTTTATTCAAAGTGGCACATTAGCTCTAAATCACATTTCTGAGCATGATTACGAGACATTAAAATGGCATACAAGACAGGTGCAACAATACAGTCAGTAAGTTCATAAGTATGAATATTAGAAATAAACAGTTCCACATAATGTAAAGAGGGGAAGAATGTTTTTCTAGAACATATACCTGCAAGAAGATGGGCGAGCAATTATTTTGTGCATGGGAAGATGCTGGTTGAGATGCCGATTGAGATGATTGGCGTGTTGGTGGCGAAGGCATACTCCCTGTAGAAGCCTGTCGTGAAAACTCGACAGGAGGGCTGTCTTCAGGTATAGTTGGCATTCCCATTCGAACTGAAAATGGATGACCAAATGCAAGCCAATCTTTCTCAATTAGTGCCTACATTAGAAGAAAAGATCAACATATATATATATACATATATATATTACTAAAATCATATTTTTCTCCCAAATCTAATCACATTATTGCTACTAATTAAAAGTAAACAAAATTTTGATTGGGATTGATATAGATTTCTAATAGTTTTGGAGTGGTTTCCAATTTTAGGTGTGTAAGTACATAGATGGGGCTTGTCTCATATGCTCTCTAAAACACACACACACAAAAGAAAACTGGAACACTAACTTCCAAAGTAATATATTCTGAGGGGTGAGACATGCCAAATTAACAATTTGACCATGTAAACTTGTGCGTGATAGGGTATCACGTAAAATCAGCTGCAGAAAAATCTTAAATATGAATTGTAGAAACACCTCACCATATACGAGATTAGATACAATGATAAGTCCCCTGTTGTAAGAATCTTCTATAATTAGTGATATAGTAGACCTACAGCTAGAAGACACTACAGCCTTTAGCATTAACAGTTTTCAGAATTGTCAACAGAGAATATTAGTTGGCTATTTATACCTTTCTTTATTAACAACAGACCATAAAATCCAATTTCATAATTGGCATTAATGATGTTTGTTTATCATAAGGTAAGACCTACCATAAAGTTGAAATTGGATATTCTTATTCTTCAAAAGACTTTTCTTGGTGCAACTTAATTAACATTTAATACATAATCACAAAATATGAGATTAAATATTTGGTCTATCTTCACATGGTATTTTGTTTAGTCAACAGGTATTGACCCTAAAACAATTATTTAAATTACTAAAATAATAATCCATCACCAAAGCATTAAAAGATTAAATACATTGACACCATATACACATTTAAAATTAAAAAAAGTAAAAAATGCTATACATAGAGTAGACAATTGTTACATTAACAATCCACATTATAACTGAAACTAACACTACACCAGCTGTATAACATCCAAACTGAGTAATACGAACCTCAATTCAACAGTACAATTATATTCCGAGATCATATTCAGAAAATGTAAAACATGCAAATTTTTAGCATGGGTATGTAACAGAGGGTGTCAATGTATCCAAACATGATGTACCACATAAAACTATTTGGAGGTGCTAACCTAAGAACGGAGAAGAAAAAGAAACCGAATGAAGTTTGTACCTGAAAACCTCTAATCGTGCGGTAATATGGATCAAGCAATAAATTTGCAAGGGCAACCACTTGTGTCGTTCTATCCCACCCATCACTAGAAACACAATTTGTAACATTCAGTAGAAGATCAGAAACTAGATACTTAGGGTGTGTATACTTTTGTTTTTTCAGATTTTTATCTTTTTTAGTTTTGATGTTTTTGTAGTGAAATAGTTGTTGTTGGATATATCTCACCTAAAATTAAAAATTAAAAGACACTAACATGCATTGAAGAGACAGCAATCGTTAGAGATCAATGCATACGATATCTCACCTACAATGAACAAGCACTGCAGCTGATTCCAAAGCAACACGAGCAGCAATCCAAGCCGAACCAGCCAAAACACTCTGTACATGTATTAACCAACCAGTCGCTCCAAGAGTAGATACTGAAGCAGACATACTGCTGAGATTTCCTCCTCCCCAAGTCCACCCACCATGCCTCTATCAGTAAAAAGGCAACAATAGGAACATCTCTTATTTTTCTGAATCAAAATTTATTATGATCATAATATCCAATCAAAACATGTATGCAAGCTGCATGTCCACAGAAATTTAATAATGACATCAGCAAGCTTCATCAGTCCATCTACAGATGCCAACTGTCATTCTTCAATATGTCCGTATACCAATATTTATTCTTCTAATATACATATATATATATATACATATCATGCTACTAAGATCTACTATATGAATAATCCAATAGTAGCAAATTTGGTAACCAATCAAGGTGCAACTCACCTATTTTTGGAGTACTTGCAGATATTTTTAAAATAGATAAGAGATGAAATGTTCCCAATATAAAATGATTATTCAGGTTTTTTTTATCTTTAACAGCTGATATATGTTAGGGGGCCAAAGAAAATTCTAAGACCGGAGCACATCGTAAAGCCAGCATGGCTCAAGGATCTTAAGGCACAAAATCAGCACCAGATGCCAAATACATCTTTATGAAAGCTGCCTTCACTATTTCATACTTCTTTTGAAAATTAAAATTAACAAATTAAACCCCAAGTCAAAAGCAACTGTTCTCTCCACTCTAACACTGTTAACTTCAATGTTGTTTCATATTGTTTGTTCAATATTTTTGCCTACCCCTGTTTATCTCAATTGTCCTTTTGTAATCCAATATTTAAATGAGTTTTTTTACCTTCGGAACGTTTGGTGTTATTTTCTGAATTATATTTTAATTACTTAAATTCATATGAGTTGATACTGGTGTCAAATACTAATGCTATAACAAAGGCAAGTTATTAATAGAATAAGTAGGGGTTGTAATGCATTATGCATCAACAACTTTCTAACTGTTTTTACTTGGATGAGAATAATCCAAATAATGTACTTTATGCAACTCCTGTGTATTTTGATACAATGTTTGATGCATCATGCATCATGATATATGCCCAAGAAACTAATAGCAGGTAAAATACATCTCAAACTGATATAGATTGCATCAAACACATCTGCCAATGGAGCAAACAGCACGGAAACACAAGGTTAGATTCACCATAAAAGATGATTTGGATGTGAGGTTTCAACATAATGGACATCAACTCAAAAAAAAAAAAGAAAAACTGTGTGTTTCTATGGTTATATAACCAAACAGCTACAATCAAAAGGTGATCAATTGACTAAGGTGTAGATACGAAATGCTTGTTATTAGTTAATATTGTATGCTATGTAACAAAACTAGAAGTCCAATTAGATTTTACATATTGAAGAATCTAAAAATTCAATAATATTAACAACCCAGAGTTATTCCTGTAGGATACAATTCCCCAGCATCCATATTGCTACTACTTGTTACTAGAGCATATAACCAATCACACAACACAACACTAATAGAATCCAGTTACATAATATTCAGATATTCTCTTAATGACAAATAACAAAGATCCATCGTGGATTATATTCAAAGACCTTTACAGGATTACGAAATCATACCAAAAATGATGACATTCCATCAGATGAATTGGCACCATGAGTGTCAACATATTCTCTAAGCCGAGTAAGGCTGTCTCTCATGGCATGTATATTGTCTATCCCAAAGAAGACTATCTGAAAATAGTTCATTTAAGAGAATTTGGACTTAAAAAACATATGCAGAAAAACATGCATGAGTTGGAAAATACCATATTTAGACATACCTCAGATTGAGAATAATTGGCAGATGATTCTGATCCACCACCCATAGCTCCATTTGCTATAGCATTTTTCCTAGGCCTTGCATCAGCAATATATAACTTCCTACAAGTGGACAGTTTATTAAATGGAAAGTTTTTTTTTCACATGTAGATGCAACTATATTGTAAAAACCTAAATCATGAAGATTCGCCGATGCTTAGTACGGATGATGTTATAGTAGAAGCAAAATAAGGCAAGATCAATAAGAACAAAATGGCTTATAGGCAAATATGCATAAATAATTAAACTCATACTTATTTCTAAAATAAATAGGGAAATATTACCTTCTGCGTTCCTTAATTCCAGCAAGTTGAGTCCAGAGTGCAGCAACAAGTTTCTCATCTGCATTGCTGCAGAAAAGGTATGAATTAAGAAGGCTTAAATGGTTTGTCAGCATGCAAATTCCACCACTCTTATTGCACCAGTTTTTCAATCACAACCATAACAAGCAGGATCTACACTCTTATCCAATAGTATTTAACAGCTAAAAACACCAATATCAATTTATTATCTAAACTTCACCTTCTCATATTCATCATGAGGCCAACCAGCGGCTGTGAAGAACGCGCAAGCACACCTCCAGTCCCTATAGCTTCATAGTCAGACTGACTGAACATAGGTGTGTAAATAGCAGTACACATTTGAACTCAACTAACACATACCTGGATGACACCAGGAAATTACAGGCAACCGACATCGTCCACGAAAGGTACAAGCCTGTTGCAGTTCTACATCACTGAGAACAGTGGTCAAACAAATACATGATGTGCACCAATGCAGAGTATTATTTTCACTTCCTGCAGTTACTCGAAAGGAGACAACAAATGCGAGCAAATTTTCTTACCTTATTGAATTGGGAACGAGTAATGCGAATGGATAAGTTGGGCACATTGTGTAATTAGAGTTCACACTGCTTATTCTCCACCATTCATTTGACAGTGTGAACGAACCATCTTCAATGGTTCTAGAGGAAGCACTATATGACCCCCCAAGTCCAAGCAGCCGGAAGTACTCATTTAATAGCCGCACCTTAGGATTTGTATTGCTAAATCTAGAAGGTCCTGATGAAAAAGCATATAAATCCCAAAGCCTAGACAACCGAGTACACCTTAACAATGCCTCATATACAGCACGCCTCTGCAAATCACCAAATGGTATCACTTAAAGGCATCTCATCACAAGGATTGAGTAAGTTTCGGATTTGTTTCACAAATAAAATATAGTAGAGATTCTTGATGAAGTATGTATCAATTAATCACTCAGATCTGAATATTGGACATGGACAATGTTCTAAAATCCATCAGTTTGCATAGTTGAACCTCAAGCAGTTAAATTGCATAGTTTAACTTCACAACACATTAAAAACAGAATATTCTTGAAAAAAAACCTAAGCCTTATAGGTGTCCATTTTCTAACCACACCCCCCTCCCCCGGTCTTACTTCCGAGTTCTATCTATAGGATGCACACTACTTGAATTCTCATAATTCAATTCACAATAATAATCATCCTAATTACTCACCCATGTTCAAGAAAGTTTACAAGATCTAGGCTAACATATGGGAGAAAATGGCGTATATCATCTCCAATGGAAAGGTTAAGCAAATCAAACAATGTACTTTCTTAACCAGGATGTCTAACCTGTTTTGTGCGAGGCCTGAAACCATATACAATGATTCTCATATCTTTGCCTGCATGCAGAACAAATTTCATTATAAGTCACTATTACAATGACGTAAAGGCAAAGTATAACTCACTGACATAATGGCATAAAGGAAGATATGCACACTCATATACAGATATAGAATCAACCAAGTCCATAATCATGACATTTGTTTGGGACTATAAACCAATAATTGAAAATTCATCACTACAAAAACAAGCACAACTTTTATGACCTTTCCAAAATATCTATAATAAAAGTGGACAGTTTGATTAATAGCGTGTATGTTTATTAATTTGGCCAAAGATGTAAGAAGCATACCAGTGACCTGAAGCAATCGTTGTGATGGATTCCTGTCAACTTGCCTAGGGCCTGATGGAATCTTCATAACCTTCATACAGGTAAGGTAATCAGACTACAAAGACTACTCCACCAATTCAAGTAACCATTATAGCCTCACTCAATAAATGATATGAAAAAGTAGAATTGTAGAGAAGGGGATATAAAGCATAACTACATAACAAGGAAATGCTTGCAACAAAAGTATGAACTTCTTAGTATGATCTGTCTGGATAATCATAGTAGAAACACTCAAGCTTCCCCCAAGCGTAGATGAAATTAAGAAACTAACCTACCAAATCACTGTGAGAAAAGATAATATCCAAATTTTCTACGGATATAGTCCCAGAGTGAACCTCTCAGAAGATTGACAAAATGATTTGAGTGTTTGCATGTGTTTTCAATCCCCCTTTCAAACTGTGCATTCAATAATGAAATTTTTTTCACTTTTCCAAAGGACTCCGAAAATAACTAACATATCTGATTCATTATACTCACATTTGTTAAATCAGTTATTACCCATCTTACAACACAAACTATTTATCATTTTTCCAAAGCATGTCCAAACAAAACATCATTTTTAAAACCTATTTTCCATTAAAAAACCTTCAAATCTAGAACCTCCCAAAACACATCCAAAGACACCCTGATTTAAGAGAATTGGCAAATAAAGAGGTAATATCGTCTATATCAATTAAGGACAAGCAACGAAATCATCAGATTGCAGGTGCACTTGATCAAAGAAAGCAAAGTCTCAAAATGTTTTCAGAAGCAAACAGGTTGTTTTGGCGCAAATAAAAACACAAAAAGACTAGTGGCATCTTGAAGCAAGAATATAAAGATTAACAAAGTATAGCTATGAAGAAACATAAAACACCGCTCAACTTACAATTTTGCTGAACTTCTCAATTGTTGCCAATGGAATTGTTCCAAGTCCTATAATGTTTCTAGATCCATCACTCTGTAAAAAGATTTTCCTACTATGAGTAACTGCCTCTCAATATTGTTTCAAGATTCTTCGAGCAGAAACAGGTATGGCTCAGAATGAATAACAAAAAGATTGAAGCATAATGACTAGCTTACACTTTATAACAGAAAATTATCACAAAAAAAAAAAAAAATCAGGAAAGGAAGGAAGGGCACTATAAAAAATTTCTCTGGGAGCATCTCGAGTTTCATATATGCTAGATATCCAATGATCAAGAACTAAATTTAAACTCTTCAGATTTGGATTAATCCATTTTTAACAAAAAGATAAGTCAATTCCTAATTTACATCTAGTAGTGGCACTTTTTTAATTATATCAGAGACAAAGGTTGTGTTACCTGTATCAATATTAAACAAAAGATAATAAGTCTAAGAATATGTGAGAGGGAACCTCTACTCAAAAGTTCTGATACAAGCACACAAAAGACAAAGCTGCACATTACCTACCACAAAGCAACCTCCCAAAGCTATGAAAGCCATAGGGAGATCAATAATCAATTATAGATACTACAATATACTATTATAGAACGGATGGACTTGCACTATGACTTACCAGGAATATAAGACGGAAGTTTGTAACAAACAATGTTCCTGCCTCATCAATATTCACAAGCACAACACCATGTCCCTGGAGGTTAATCATAAATCTCAGTTATCCTCACAAATTGTAGTTGTTCAAACTAAAATAATAAAATTCAGCTGCAATGTCTTAAATTTCATGAGTATACGGTCAGCAAACATAAAAGACATCATATATTAAGCACAGGATAAAGCAAAATAATGTCACAACATTACAACCATGTAGAAACGGAAATATTTAAGCATTACAGAGTGCAAAGAAAGTGCAAGCAGCAGCAACACCAAGGGTACCCTGTTTTTCAACAGATCGAAAAAGAACTATTCTAGAATGTCATGATTTTCCTATAACTAACAGTGGCATTGATCAATCTATATACCATTGCAAAGACATATAGGAAAAGTGCTAATGCATTCAAGCAAGAGATCATTTGACTCACCCAACACTAATAACATGTGAAATTTTTTTTCTTGTTTTGCTTTACTGTTTACAAACTTCGAGAGGCATCAATGACTTGAAAGGAATGAGTTCCAGCTACATGTACGTCTAAGAGCAAATGTTTCATAATTTTATATTATTCATCTTATGCCCATTCTCTACAAAATCACCAAACATTTCATCAAAGATAAAATTGAGAAAACAATTAATACCAAAACCATCTGCAGCAAAATCTAACCCCAAACCTAACCCAAAACTCCTGATGGTCTTAGAAGATAGAAATCATACATTTTCTAGACACAATTGAATTTGTAGGTAAAGTGTGACGAACATGGAAAGATGTCCAAACATGTGTGTGCAAATGTACATATGGTATGAACATCAATGGAGCATCTTTCACTATCGGAAGCAGCATACCATTTTTCAGGACTACAGGTACGTTTGATATGGTGAAGAGGATATTGAAATGAATTGTGAAGGCATAGAACATGGGAGTATTGAATGACAAGATCAACACTTTGTTGTGTTGGCAATAAAATAAAACGATGTTTATTCAGCTCTTTTATCATTTTACATGTAACGTGCTGAAATATCTATTAAAAACTTACCATCTTTTTCCAATAAATAAATATTAATTAAACTTTCAAAGACATCTTCTTATGATATAATAAGTAGAGCAATATCAAAGAGCTCCATAAACTGAAGTTACCATTCCATTATATGTAGGCTTATAAAGTTCATGGCATTTTCATATAGAATAATACTTTGTACCAAATATGGTTTTGAGATAACCTTTAGTATTTCAAGTAAATCAGGATGCATAGTTTAATTATTTGCTTGATAGTTCAGGATTTCAAGTAAATTAGTTGAACATATACCGGGTTCTTATAACAACTTATGGTATCAGTGCTTCAAAATTAATGTTAGTGTTTCTGTTTATCATAAACATTGTTGTCATGGCGTCGCCATGGCGGGCGCCATGGCATCCTGGCGGCTTTTAAGGGGCGCCGCAACTCTTCGCCTCGCCTTATCAAAGAATGTTGTTTGGAGATGCTTTAGCAACGCTGTGGCGACACTTCAACGCCGCCACGGCGATGCCATGGCACTGGGAAGGCTAGCCCAGAGCCTTTGAAGCCCAACCCAAGCCCCAAAACCGCATCGACATCAACTTTGAAACCGAACCCTTAACTTCTCATCCTCTCTCTCCCCCTGTCATCTGTCTCCCCTGCTCTCTGGTCTAGTCGCTAGTGTCCGCTGCTTTGTGCAGCCCCTCCCCTTCACATATCTCTCTCCTCTCCTCTGGTCTAGTCGCTAATAACCGCATCATCCCATCATAGAGTTCTTTTCCACTATTTCTTATATTTTTTAATTTGTTACATACTTTATTACTCTGGAAGTGCTATTACATTATTATTTATTTTAAAATTTCAAATTAATTATTTATTTTATTTGTTAATTATTTTGTATTTTCTTGACATGTTACTATAAAATTAATAATTATAGACATTAGTTTCTTATAACATATGATATATATATAAGTTTTTTATATATGTGCGCCGTGTTCGCCACCATTTTGTCGCCATAGCGGGCGCCATGTCGCCATGGCAGTATGGCGGTTCATAGGCGCCGCGCCGCAAAAGTCGCCGTGACAACCTTGATCATAAAGCACATTAACTGATAGTTCAACAAGAACAAACTGCAAATCCCCAAAGCACATTAACTGATTGCACTGCATATATTGCTAATTTATGTATACATACTTTTAAGATTACCTTTAGTATTTCAAGTAAATCAGGATGCATAGTTTAATTATTTGCTTGATAGTTCAGGATTTCAAGTAAATTAGTTGAACATATACCGGGTTCTTAACACAACTTATGGTATCAGTGCTTCAAAATTAATGTTAGTGTTTCTGTTTATCATAAAGCACATTAACTGATAGTTCAACAAGAACAAACTGCAAATCCCCAAAGCACATTAACTGATTGCACTGTATATATTGCTAATTTATGTATACATACTTATTTGATCCTTTAATCAGAAGACCCAACAAAACTAAAGCACAATTCTAAACGCAGAAAATGAGGAGTATTTCTAATTGGTAAAATCAGAGCATTCGATCATTCCCTACATTATTAAAATAATCATTCAAAGTAAAGGCATTACCTCTACTATAACTTGCTCCGCTTCAATCAAAAATTGTTGCAGAGCACTTGGAATAGACCTCGAAACAGGCTGCCAAAGAAATCACATATACATATATAATCAAAAGGCCCACCACATTAAAACGAAACCCAAAATCTTAATGAAAATTCATTCTAACAAAAAAACAAAAAGCATTTGACATTTCTACAAAATTTAAAACCCTAGGAGAAAATCACGCACATCAACTTTGGTCCACTCAATGGCATCCCAACTGCCGGTGCCCTCGATCTTCTCCGACTCCGATAAACGCACGTCCCATTCCCGGAGCGTCGTCCGGCCGGACCGACTTCTCCGCAAATCCATCCTTCTGCATGAACAAATGGACCAATTGAAATTTTTGGTGGGGAATAAAAAGAAAAGGTGAAACCGATAGGCAACGAATTGTACCGCAGTTTCTCCAAGTTAACGATTTTTGAGGTGTGAATCGAGAGCTCCCGGGACCCGGAACACCAGATGAATCACCGCCGTTGGATTTAACTTGCCCCAAATGTAGGTCCTACACCAGCCAACGGTCAAGATTCGGCGGATGCAAAGATATAAGTGGAGTAGGCCGCAGAAAATCTGAACCCGAGATTTCTGCGGAAGTGAAACCATATTGAAGGCAGGACTAAAGTGGGCTGATGAGTTGCCCATTCGGTTCGAACCGCCGGTTCTTTGGTTATCGAACCGGTCGGTTACGGTTCAAATCTAAACCGAATACCAACCGAACCAAAAACCGTTATTTCGACGGTTCGGTTCCGTGAACGGTGGTTTATGACTGGTTCGGCCATCAAATATATATATAAAAAAAAAAAGAAAAAAAAGGAAAGAATTGGAGAAAAAAAAAGAAGAGGAGAACTGGTTCGGTAAATGTATTAATTAGGGTTGCAAAATGGTGTATTTTAATAATAATAGTAATATATTTATAATTAAAATTTTAATATATATTAGTATTAAATTTTATAAAAATAAAAATAATATTAATAAAACTAAATGATTATTAATGATATAAAAAATTTATAATTATTATTTGTTATATTTATATTTTAAAATTTTATAGTAATTTTTTTATATAATCATGTTTGATCTTATTATCTAATTTACTAATATCTTTATAATTTTTATTTTTTAATTCAAAATTTTATTTAATTACTTACTAAATTTATTATTTTATTAAATTTTATATTGTAACATTCTAATTAATTACTATTATTTTTAAAATTTATACATAATAAATAAATATTAAATATATATCTAAGTAAAATTTAAATTTAGACAAATTGTACCAGAAAAAGAAAAACATATTATATATATATATAAAAGTCAGTTGTTCAAGTCGTAACCGGCAACTTATAAAACAATATTGACGACTTATAAATCATTATCGACGGTTTATAAAACGATATTGATAATTTATAAACTGGTATTTGATGATTTATAAACCGTAATCGAAACCGTCCTTCGAAAATTTTGCTTTGACATTTTGATAAATTGGATTTGAAGTTTTAAATAATAAAAATTATGAAATTAATAATAATTTAATCTGATATAAATATGTAAATATATATATATGTATATATGTTTGTTCGTTTTGAGTTTTTAATAATTTTTATTATTTAAACTTTAAGTTTTTCATACAAAAGATATTTTTATTTTTATAAAATTAAAACAAATATTATTTAAATAAAAAAAAATCAAAATTTCAAATCGAATCCAAATTGAAAAAATACAGGTACATTTGGTACAAAAATATAGATAATGAAATAAAAATATTCTTATTTTTTGTATTTGTTTAGTTAGGAAAATTCAAATTCGACAAATAAATTATTTTTATTTTTCTCATATGTACCCATAAATGAAAAGAAATAAAAATTGTAAATACAAGATAATGTTTATTTGTTATTAAAAATATTACCAATGACTTCAATGCTATATTTGATAAGAATGATCAAGAAGCTCATATATTGGATTTTATTAATTATTTTAGCAAAACACTTTTATTTTTCCAATATTATTTTTCATTTGCGATTTCTTAAAAATAATAATAAACAATATAAAAAAATTACAGAAGTCAAAAAGTAAAAAAAAGAAAAAAAAACTTCAAATACTCATTACAAAAAATAAAATATTCAACCTAAAATAATACTCCCTCCGTCTCAAACACCGTGCAATATTTCCTTTTTGGTATGTCCCAAAGACCCTGCAACATTTCTAAAATAGGAAATAATTAATTATACTTAATCTCTACCCCACACTTTATCTCATCACATCAACCAAATAAAAAAAATAAAATATACATTTCTCTCTCAATCACATCACCTAATTTCTAAATTATCCTACTTAATACTACCCATCTAAAAACCTGTGTCCAAAACAAATATTGCATCTTATTTGGGACGGAGGGAGTATATTTTATATATTTGACACAATTTTCTATGTCATACACCAAAAATCAATTCATCTAAAAAAAAATTACGTCAACAGAAATTGAGTTGTGTAGTGTTAATTTTATATAATTATGATTATTTTATAGTTTGTTTGGTTGTGATTTCAAATTTACTAGTTACTCTGTCCAATTTTTTTTTATAAAAATATATTTTTAAGAAATTATATTAAAATACTATTTAAGAAATTATATAACTCATTTTTCAATATGCCCCTTCAAGTAAAGCCAATAGTTATCCAACCTTTTCAAAAATGCAAAACAGCAAGAACTACTTTTATGTGTTTGTTGGGGGATATTTTACTAATCAATAATTTTTTACTTAAAAAAAATATCAAATCAAACATATTTTTTATTTTTATATATTAGGTTAAAAATAAATTTTACTATTGATTAATTGTTGGTATTCACAATCTTTACATATATGTTGGTTTAATTAATTAATTAATCATATTTGAATTTTGATTATTTTTGAATTATCTTATATAATTAAACTAATCTTAAATTGTGGCCCATTTTTCTCTCATTAAATCTATCACATTCAAAATATACTTGAGAAATCGTGATGGACGGTTTCTCTTTTTTATTATAAATACTCTTAGAAAATCAGAATACACCATCACTATTTGAGAACCAGGGTTTGGCAACGTCGGTTCCAGGATCTGGCAACATCTTCACAGGGTTCCAAAATTTGGCAACATCCTCCAAGAGTTCCAGAGTTTGGCAACACCATCTTCCCACGGTTCCAATCTACCGTTGGCTTGGAGAAGAGTAAGAACAAATTTAATTTTTAGCAATGGCTGGAGGTTTGTTTAAATTCCGCTTCCACTGACATATTTGATTATATGTTTATTTTCTAATAATAACATCTAAGACACACCCAGTATGGAATCGTAAGACTTAACGAAGGAGTAAGTTCGACCAAATGACGAATAAAAATTATAATATGAATTTTGTGATACTTTATTCATGACTCATATTATTTAGAGTACATACAATGAAAATACCCATAAAAAATATCTTCACACTTTCAAATCGGGATTATCTTTCCTTCACATGGTATTCTTTTTCTTCCAATTCAATAAATAAAATATATATTTATTTTATATTAAAAATAATTATTTTTAAAATTACAATTTTTTAGAAAATATATCAATATACCTATCATTGTATAAAGAATAAATTTTATATAATACAAAATATAAAGAATAAAAATATAAATATAAATATTATAAAAATAAAATAGAATATAAAAAAAAGTAAAAATACGATGGGTATCTATACACGATACATACTTCTACTTAAATTAATGTACATTTTATTTTATTTTATTTTATTTATATTACAAGATGGAAAAAATAAAAAATAAATAAAAACTACGAGAAAAAAATCACAATCTATCTTATTTCTAATATATATAAAATTTAAATTATAATAAAAAAAAATAAAATAACACAATATAATTATATATGTATAGAAGATCTTCTTATTAGTCGTGTGGCAAATTTAATTCGAATAAAAATTATTAGGAAATAATATACATTGTTTTTTATTCCAAGGAAATAATATATATTGTGTCAAAAAATACGGACAAAATCATCGGAAAAAATTAATATTACATTAAAAACAAAAACAAAAAGAAAATCAAAACTAGCTATAAATGCTAACTAAAAAAGAGATTATCTAAATGTCCCATCCAAAGACATTCAGAAGACATAAATTTCGGCTTTAAAATCACTCTACACTTCTTTTGAGTCAAATTATAAATTATAAAACATGTTTTATAGCGGTGACAAATAATGAATATAAGCTCTCTATCATCGTCGTAGTCGGCCAAGTACATCTTGCACATATTTTCCGGACGCAAAACCTTCCTCAGATCCCAAGTGTCGGTAGACTTCATCCATAATTCCATCCACGGAATCGACAGATCATCAAACTCCGTCCATTCGCCGCCAGTTTTCTTCCACCCAACACGGCACTTGTCATGGCACGCGTCTCCAATGAGCATGCAAAAGTGAGTTGACGAACAATCAACGAGACAATAAGAAGTACTACCGGTTCTCGATCCTCGCCCTGTTTTGTACATAATGTCGTAAAACTTCTCGTCCCTTATGTTGAAGAAATTTATTTTAATATAGTAACGATCGATTTCGGTCATTTCTCCTGGAAAAACACAATTGTTAATATAGATCATGTCGCCGTCGACAGAAATGTTTTTGATGTCACCTCTCATTAATGCCATCACCGTAGTTTTCAACTCGTTCCAACGCCGGTTTCTATTGTCAAACACGGTGTACCGTATCGTCGATGGAATCAAGGTGTACGGTTCTGTAAATGGCTCGTGGGCGACTATTTTATAATCATCCGATAATGGATCAAATCCGATGCCGCACTCGACTTGCCTGCGATTCTGAAAAGGAAATCCCAAATCTGTATACTTTCTGGCTGATGGATTCCAGATGATTACTCGAGAAAAGCTCCTCGAATAAGCGAGCATTAGGCCATGGCAGCAACATTGGTTTCTCAGCCGAAAGTAGTATTTCGGCAATCGCTTCCATTTATTGTTTTCCATTAATCTAGAGAGGCTGTATATATTTTTATTACG